TTTGTTATGCCGTCGCCACAGAAAAATAGAACATATTGATAAAAATTCTAGGCCTAGGGGGAATGGAAACACGTAGAATGTTCTATTATACTTGCAGTTTTTTAAATCAATCAACTAAATCAATCAACTGAATCAAGGAAAGAATAATCGGTCTTTCTGAATTCTGGTATATTTAGTTTGAAATATACAAGTTCGTGACATTTATGAATCTGGTCAGACTGAACGAATGTGGCATAACATTCAAAAACAAAGCTATCTCAGCGTGTCAGGAAAAGAACATTACGATTATATTTACAAAAAGAGTTTTACTAGCTGTGATAGTTTCTTTCATCTGAGATATGTTAGTCATAAAGAAATTGTTTACTTTTAGCGCCTCTCAAGAAATATGTAATTAGCTATATAAATTATGCAAAAATCATTGATTATGGGCTCCAGAAAATCTTAACTCGCGCCAAATACAAATTGATACCCGCAGGTTTTTCTTCAGATCTTCTGAAAATGAGTATAAATCATTACACTCAAGGACATTTCAGCGTAATTTTAGGTCCCCATATGGAGATTTCGGGCTTCGATTTTAGTGTAATTTTGTAGACCGAACAAGAAGCAAAAAGCGGTGTGCCGTCAGGTTGCTGTCATTTATTCACGATTTATTCAAATGCTATTATTTTTTGGAACAGAGAACCTGAATTGTATCTTAACTTGCTGATCTAGTTGAAATTTGGAAATAGTCAGGTGTTTTGACTCAGCGCGGCTGTACAATTTACCGAAATTCAACCTTCGATTTTGCTTGAAAATAGCTCTGCACGGGTAGAATGAGTTTCGGCTTCTAGCAAAACAATAAAAATGAATTTTCAAAAAATAAATTTATTTTGGACACTTGTATAACAATGCCTTTTAACACACCAAAAATAAAGGAAATCTATTTTCCGAAGTCAAAGTCATCGGACCGTTCTTAGCGGGACTGCCACTTAAGGTTGTCTTGGAGTTCTCTACAAGAGGTAGGAAGATGAAGAGATGTGTAAAGTTTGGAGTCATCAGCGAAGAGTGCGAGCGATGATTCAGCCTGAATGTAATCTTGGACGTCGTTGTGATACACAAGACATGTAGTAGATATGTGCAAAGTGTTGTGGAGCCACAGTGCTCAAACGACCACAAGGAAAGTACTGCATTCTCTTAAATGCATTATTGCTAAGTAGCACCCAATGCCACTCATACAAGGATGGAAAAATAGCCTCGCAGGAATCTAAACAGCTGCAGCAAGTAGACGTGCAACATGTATCTTTTGTTTGTTTATTGTTCTTCTGGATTATTTACAAAGTTTTTAATTACTTTTCTGTAACATTTCGGTTTCTTCTAAGACACCATTTTCATCTTGCGTCAGCCGCATGATCGTGTGCATGATTGTTTTTGAGTGTGTTCACATTTTGCTTATGCTCGTTCATTTGCAATTAAACTAATAATAATAATGAAATTGAAATCATTACTTAGATGTTTGAAGTTTGGATAAGAAAAATCATTACTAACAGTATCTTGTTTATTGTTCTGTGCTTTAGGACCTCTTCCAACAACTTTGGAAAGATTCAAATACATCCTCACTTTTACGGATTACTTCACAAAATTTGTGGATATTTCCCCACTGAAGGAGAAAGCTGCTGCTGGAATTGCAAGGTGTATTCAAACCTTTGTTTGCAGGTCAGCAAAATTTCATTAATTGCATGTAACTATAATTATGGCTAAAATTATACTGTATTACATATACTGAAAATATGTTGTGAACATATATACAGTATATTTTGTCACCACTTCAGTAAATATGTTGATTTTTTATAGGTGGGGTGCACCTTGTAGATTATTACTACTCAAGGCCGCGAGTTTGTTGCAAAACGTAAGTCTACATTTTAACTGTTACAAATTGTCATGTACTACTCATATATAGATGATTTCACTGGTTTCACATTATTTGGTATTTTTAACGCAATTTTTATTTGCCCCAATATCTTAATGCATGTATAGTGCTGTATATAATTAGTTTGCATGTGATACTTGAGCATGCTTCTCCCTTTTCATTAATTCTAGGTTAATAACGTCGTGTGTGAAAAGTTAAACACCAGACGGTCTGTGAGAAGTGCCTACCACCTACAAACGAATGGGTTGGACGAGCGTACCAATCAGTCCCTGAAAGTTCGCCTTTCCAAACTGGTAAATGAACATCAGAACAACTGGGATCAATTTTTGGAGGAAGTTGCATTCTCAATAAGAACACCGAAAAGCAAAGATCTGCCAAATATAGTCAATTCTTCCTAATGCTTGTTCGTCATCCTAGAACTCCAGTGGAGGTAGTTATATAATAAACTAATAATTTTAGTGGCTGAGAGCAGTGCAATTTTTTTTAAATAAAGTGCGAAAAACGAAACACTTCAAAACATGTTCTTTTCAATACCTATTTTGACAGTTGTTGTTTGTTCCGTTTACTGTTGTTGTTCAGATTATAAATAAATTATTTCGCATGTGACTCACGCATGCACGTAATGGATTAATTTTTTCATGTATATTATTAGTAAGCAATAGTATATGGCTTCTCGTGCAATTTGGAAAAACATGCACTCATGAGTTTTTCACTTTTTAAGTCTTTGCAATTTTGAAGTAACTCGTGCATGCTTTTTTTTCCAAATTGCACTTGAAACCATACTATTATCTAGACATTCAAATAAGTAAAAAATATCTCATTGTAAAACATGAACAAGACAATGCTGTATAACAGTAATATTCACAATCAGATTTTGCAGATGGAAAACACAGAAGAGGACCATGAATTGTAGAGGAGCAAGTCAATGACGATGACTTAGAACAGATGGTTATGGCAAGAGTTTCTAAGATGGCTAATATCAACGAAAAGGTTAATATTGAACAGTTCGTATATTGCACCTAACTTCCATATTTTACTCTGCAGGATAACACCAAACTATTTTACTCTGTCTTACACCAGATGTAGGCCTACTCATCGGTGGCACTAGTCAGGTCTCTTAAGGTCACGATGTTTACAGAGCTGACAAAAGCACCAAACTTGGCTCAGTTATAGCTTATGATAGTACTATCAATATTGGAAGTGGTGCCCAATGCAAATATTCCTCATAAGCGACTTAAAGGGGATTAAACGTTTGAAAATATCTCGTCTTGGGCTCCCTGTGGTGCTTTTTATATAAAGTGCATTTTAATGGTCGAAGTAAACTATTTAGTCTGATATATTTTATTTCTGTTTGTTAAAACCTTTCCAAATGAGAAAAAAAGCTATATTTAGGAATTGCTATAAACAACTAGTACCAGTCCCACTCGCCAATTTGTCATTTCCAAGATGGCGGCTCCATGCATCTTTACGAAAACTGTAAGCGATATTCAGCCTTTGATATGCAATTATAACAGGTTTTCTTTTTTACAAATTTCTCTAGATAAATCGTTTTATGTTAAAGGATGTTTTTAAAATGTGTTTGCAATTAGTTTTATTTTTTATCTAAAAAGCCTGATTGTGTGCTATCACCAATTGTTAAAAATTTCAGAGATGATGGCATTCTCTTGGAGACATTGCATCATCTGCCAGAAAGATACATCAGAAGAGCTAAGATGTCCATTAAGATCACGCGGAGCAGATAAGAGCGATCCCAAAATCGTGTATAACTCGTTTCTACAAAATGTTTCTGAGTTCCGTGGTTCACTGGATGTAATATTGCCTGTTAGCCTTACGCTGCCGCTCGAGCTAAATGTTGATGCCTTGATCGAAAAAGAAGCTGCGTGGCACAAGTCTTGCCATTTACAATTCAGTAAATCTAAACTAAATAAAGCAAAGGAAAGAGCAGCTCGAAAAGGGAAGCAAGATCAAGCCAAGCCAGAGCAGGAGAAACCAACCAAAACCCGTATACTGTCCTCCAGCATAAAGAAGAACTGCAAAGAGAACTGCATATTGTGTTACCAAAGTTGTACTGGCCCGCTTCATAATGTCACTACTTTCGCTACTGATGAAAACCTTCGCCGAATGATAACAGAACTACAAGACAACACGCTGTTACCTAAGATTTCTGGGGTTGACCTTATTGCAGCTGAAGCAAAATATCACGTGAAATGCATGACAAACCTGCGCAACCGCTATAGAAGTCACTTAACACGAGCACGACAAGAATCATGTGAAGAAGATGAGAAAATGAAGGAATCTCAAGCTTTTATCGAGTTAAACGCATATATCGAGAGTTCTGTCGAGAATGAGAAGTTTTTTTTTCTTTCTGAGTTGCATTCACTTTATGTAAGTCGGCTTCAAACCCTAGGCGTTCAAAAACAAGTGAATAGAACTAGACTTAAAACCTCGATACTGGAAAACTTCCCAGACGCTCAAGAGCAAAATGATGGAAAGAATGTTGTTATAATTTTCAAGAAAGCCATACAGGGCATTGTGAAAGAGGTGGTACAGCAAAGAGACTTCTCAGAGGACGCTGTGATTCTAGCTAAGGCTTCAGCAATTGTTCGAAAAGACATTTTTAGTCATCAAGGTTTTAAATTTTCCGGAAGTTTTCCGCAAGACTGCCAAGCGAGATCTGTACCAGCTAGCCTTAAGTCATTAATGTCAATGATTTTAAGTGGGGTGAACATTTGGAACACCGAGGAGCAAGAATCTCAGCCATGCTTAACAGTGTGTCAAACCATAATTTTTAATACAAAGGCCAAGGAACGCTCAACTGTTCAGTCAAAAACCGCCAGTCACGGCATACTAAATCACGCGAACCACCTCTTCCATTATACCTCGGATTTAATGTCCATGCAATGACCAGAAGTAAGACACTAATTGCAAAGTTGTACCAGATGGGACTTTCGGTATCATATCTAAGGATCATGGATTTAGAGGACATGCTTGCTACTTCCATCAGTGAAGCGGACGGTTTTGTGGTACCTGTTGTCCAAAAAAGGGCGTGTTTACCGTTGGAGCCCTTGATAATTTAGATCATAACCGTAGCTCTATGACGAAAGCCTCGTCGTTCCATGGAACAGGCATTAGTCTTTTTCAGTTACCAACAATTAGTAATCCTGGCGAAGAGAGGCCTCCAGTGGCGTTACCGCCGCAGGGAACCGGGCATGCTCTTCCAGAGGAATACGCAACTGTTTACCCCGTAGAGTTGAACACGAGCAAGGCAGTTGTACCAACGCGTGATATGAAAGAAATAGTTAGTTGTATGGCTGAAGCGAAACGTAGTGAGGAACAGTGGGTGGTGCATTCTCTCGAAAAACTTGACGAAGAATCAGTGACCTCAGGAGATACGTTGGCTTGGGCAGCATTTCATGCTTCGGCCAAGACGGAAGAAGATCCACCTGCTTTGACTGCACTACTCCATTGTTCTACGAAAAGGCGGCGACCCCAGCGATGGTCAAGCACGCATGGATGTCATACGGCAGGCAGTTACCTTTCTAAATCCGAGCCAGGTTCCTATCATCACCGTTGACCAGCCCCTGTTTGCGCTTGCGAAGATGGTCCAGTGGAAGTGGCCAGACTCACATGGAGAGCAGGCGTATGTAGTTATGCTTGGTGGCCTGCATATCGAGATGGCTCTATGGAGTGTGCTTGGCGATTTGCTTGACGGATCTGGCTGGACTGTCGCCTTGACTGAAGCTGATGTGGCCTCTTCTGGTGTAGCGGTTTCCTTCTTGAAGGCGTCACATCTAACAAGAACTAGGTAGGTTGATATGCTAAACATATTAGATGACCATACAACTATCCACAACCATACAGGTACTGGTTCACTATAAAGCCTGTTTTCCACTCACGTATTTCGCCGCCACTTGCAAAAATTTCGCCACCGAAAATTTATTTTCTTTGTCAAAATTTTTCGCCAGCGGCGGCGAAATAGGTGAGTGGAAAACGGGCTTAAGGATCCTTGCGCTATACTATTCCGGAACAACCTCGTCCCCAGAGCCATGGGAGGCACCTCCAAAATGTTGCGAGGATGGCCCTGGGGACGAGGTTAATTCCATATCGATGAGCGCAATTTATCCTTTCTGAGTGCATTTTATCTCCAGTAGAATGTTCTTTGTCTTGTGGCAATGCAGTAGGCGTACAGGTTATAATGTAACTGGGGGGTTACTTATAATTAAGAAAAAATGCGAAATATTTTCAGGCATGCTCATCAAGTCACTGCTCTCACCCTACATAAGCTTCAGAGAGATGCATTTTCCCAGTGCGTTGACGAGGCATCGTTCTCTACGTGGGAAGAGGCAAGAAAGCGAATACGCCCGACGTTTCTCTTCTGGGATGTAATTCTACAGTTAGAGACACTGGTGTTGCTTGTAATACGCGCACATAGGCAGCGAATCTTCAATTTGTACGTCGAGGCCATGGAAGAGCTGATACCTTTATTCTTTGCACTGGACCACGTCAATTACGCACGCTGGGCCTCCATCCATATTCGGGACCTGAAGTCTCTACCGGACAACATCGCTAAGGAATTTCAGAACGAAGGCCACTGGATATTGTCAAAAACAAGCAACAGGTTTTCTGCTATTCCCTTTAACCAGGCGCATAAACAGGAGAACAAAATCGCCAAGAGTGCAGGTGGTGCAGTAGGCCTAACAGAGAACTCTGTAGCATTTAGGTGAGCACAAAAATCAATTCTTTGCTTATGCTTCGTTATCAGCACAATGTGCCAATTGAAAAGTGTTAATTAAGTTGTTCGGTTTTGTTATTTTATTTATTTATTTATTTATTAGTTTCGCCATAGTACAATACACAAAACTATAACAAGAACAAGAATAATATACATGACTATAGGCAGGGTGACCGCAACAGCGTGAGCCAATTACTGCCAATCGTTCCCGACTTAGACCTGTGGGTGGCTTTTGGAATGGGACGCCACTTCTCGTACATCAACATTAACACCATCTGTGTCAGCCTGGGTGAACAAGGTCTAGATTACTACCAGTTTTCCATGCGCTTACTGGTTGTGATAACACGTCATCCTTTTATGGGAAAGGCAAGAAATCCGCCTGGCAGGCATGGGAGCCGTATCCAGATGTTACCTCGACTTTCGAGTTTCTGGCAAAGAACGCTTACCATCAGCTAACGGCAGACTCTTCCATTTCAAGAGAATTGAACGGTAAGTTGTCGTCCTGTTTGACAAGTCTAGCCCACTGGATTCCATAAACAAGACGAGGATGGAGCTGTTCTGCAAGAACAACAGAGCAATGGTCAAGCTTCCGCCAACACAGGTAACTATGACAGCTTGCATGCAAAGAGTTTTTCTTTACTGTATTGCTATTCATGATGCTTCATTCAACGATTACATTTTCTTTCAATCACAAGGATGCTCTCCTACAACATGTTCATCGTTCAATTTTCCAAGCGGGAATATGGTCGACCAGTGAGCACTCACAACAGGCAGTACCATCTCCAGACAGGTTTTCTTGGAAGAACGAGGGAGGAACATGGGTACCGAAATGGATAACCATACCCGAGGTCTCGAAGACTTGCAGCGAACTAACAAAGTGTACCTGCAAAGGTTCATGCACAAGATGCAAGTGCGCTAAGGCGTATTTGGCGTGCACTCCGCTTTGCAGATGTAAATGTGTAAAAAGTGCAAGTGATCCGTGAACAGCCGTACTGTCTAACCTTTTTTAGCACTAGAAAAAGTGAATGTGCCTGCAATGTGAACCGAATTAGGATCGGGAACTATATCAAAATGCAAACAAACGTGAAGATCTGTTTTGAAATTTAGTTATTATTTATTTGCCAACATTGACGCTGAAAAACGCTGAAAAGTGAAATAATTTTCTGAGTGGAGACTGGGCACTAGTCAATATACTTGTATAATTTATGTCAAAGTGGCGTAACTATTAATAAGCATGACCTATCCAGCCTCAAAACTCTGTTATTTATTTGTTCTTTGCTGAATTTAGACAAAAGATATAGCAACCACAGTAACCCACTTTGTGATTTTAGGTAAAACTTCATTAGCCCATTAATCCTTAACAAGTGCGATTCGCGATGGGCACTCCTTCTAATATTAATTTGTATATGCTAAGGAAGCTATGTGCCAAATTTGGCATTTTTGTCACTCCTGTAAACATTGGGCCACTATTTTGCACTAAGAAACCTGACTTAATACAGTGGGTTAACAGAACTATCCAGGGTGCGTTAATTCAATATTTTTAGGGGTACTTGACTGATACTCCGACAAATTTTGTCGCATACTTGAACTGGTACAAACTCAATCATTTCTAATATTACAATATTTCTGGGGCCGGTTGTATCAAAGGCGTTTAACTCGCTAACCACTGTTTAACTCGCTATCCGCAGGATTAAATTTCAACCCTCCAGAAATCGCGTTGTATCAAGGCCGTTTAGGGCTATCCACCGGTTAAATTTTGCCTATCCACCATGTAAACTTATACGGTCTCTTGAGACCGTTTAAATCGCTATACGGCGGATAAACTTGGAGTTTGAAGATAAAACAATGATTATTTCGGATGAAAAAGCATGGGATAGTTATAAAAATGCACAATCATGTAGAGGAGTTATCTTTTTAAATCCAATAAACTTGAAAAACTCACTTTTAACTGGCTTGGTCTTGAGGTACACTGAGGGCTCACTTGTAATTCTGTGGCTTTGCTATATTTACGCACACCAGTGTCATGTTTAGATGTTAGGTATATATACTCTGGCTTTTTCTCCTTCTTTTCTTCTATTATATAGTTTGAAAACAAGCAGTAAGACTCCCAATTTTAGCTATTGTAAAACAAACAATAACTTTGGAAAGCCAACAAGTATACAAATTAATAGACAACAAGACGCCGAAAGTCGAAAAAAATTTGTTCGCTCGCGTTAATCGCTTTGATCAGCCAATCAAAACTTGGGACAAAATGTTCTTAAAATTATTTTGAACAAAAGTGCAAGGTCGAGGAACAAATTTCAAACAGTATAAAACTGAATCAACTGACAAAAGCCAAATACAACTCACAGTTTTTGCTATTGCCTTCGACTCTTCGCATAAAGATGCCAAAAATCTTTGTATAATGTAGTAATGAAGAATGTCAGTCAAAAGGGAGGCAAGATGGAAGTACTATGGACTGGTCCCTACAGGTAGTTAGGGTTATAAACCAGACAGATCTGTCCATGCCTCTTGTTAGTACAGTAGCTTATTTAGTGGCAATGCATACAGTACTAAACACACTTAAGTAGAGATGGGTTTTGCCTATTAATCGGCCGGTTTGCCAATAACATCAATATTAACTTCTCAAGTGTCATATCTGTCTTACACAGGGCCAATTCTATCTCATCATCAGCTACGTCACTACGCATGCATGGTTTGCTTTGTCGACCGGCGAACGTGTTCTGAAGAGCTCTGAAGAAAATATATAAATATTCAGTGGGAGACACACTCAAATCGTAAGTAGCGCTCCCTAATTTCAATAATTTGCATTTCCTTGACTCTTTTTTCCATATTTATAGCAGGTTTGTTCGAAACAGGTAAGAACGACCAAAATATGGATGCGGGAAGAGATGAATAACATAGCCATCGTCAACAAGAGGAAACCTTCGACGACGATGAGCCCAACGCTAGTCCACAGGACGAACAATCTGCCCTGCATGGGCAACATACAAGCTCACAGAGCATGAACAGCGATGTTTCTAATGAACAATTCGCTAAAACTTTGGCCACAATGAACGAAAATATGGCCAACATGGCTGCAATATTAGGCCAAATATGGCAGCACGTCGATTCTGGCGGGGAAACTGCAAAGACTCCTCTGAGTCTGAGCGAGATGAACACACGGCAACACGCCGTCGCTCAGCTCATGAAAATGAGGACAGTCTTTAGTTAGCGTAACGGCCAGTGATGACGAGGTAAGGCAGTTAATGAATGACAGCGATACGCCGCAACAACAAGACGAAAGCCCTGATTTACCCGACGAAGATTTGCTTCAAGAACTGGAACAACAGTTCAGTGAAGACAAAAGTCTAGGGTCCGCAGTGGGAAAAAAACTAGCAACTATAGCTATTAATCGCTGGACTGAAAAATTAAGTCCTGACAAAATCAAGGAAATAAACGAGAAATACAAACAACCGCTAAACTGTGAAGCTATGCGAGTTAGCCGCATTAATCCAGAAATACGGTCTCAAATCAGCCAACACAAAAATAAAACAGATCTTAGACTGTCTAAAACGCAACAAAATGTCCAAAAAGCGGTTTTTGCCACGCTTCAAATGGCGGAAACTTTAAGCGCCAAAAAGCAACATTCGGCATTGACCGAGAACAAGAAAGGCAATGACCGTGAGGCATTACTTCGCATCGCAGTGAACCTCATTGCAATGTTGGAGCATATGAATGCTGATGTAATGTCCATGCGACAGGAGTCGATTAAACCAGCGTTGAAACCAGAATTTCAAAAAATTTGCCATGCAACTGTTCCACCAAACTCAAAATTCTTTTTTGGCGATGACTTGGCGAAACTGGTTCGCGACTCAAAGGAAATAAACAGCATTGCAAGCACACTGACGCTGCCAAGAACAGCTCGCAATACTAGCACAGCAAACACGAGTAGACGCAATACTCACACCTACAGCCGTGAGGATATTAATAACTCATACACGGGTGACAACCGTGGTAGAAATACATCTACGAGGCCTTTTTTATGGAGAGGGCAAAAACCATATCGCAGGCGACCCGGCACGAGAGGCAACGGGTCCCAGAACCAGCAAAGAAGTGAGTTTAAGGCCCTGTCGCACTATTGCGTATGAGAGAAACGTATGAAAAGCGTATGAAAATCAGTGAAATAATTTTCATACGCACAAAAATCCTTTGAAATGCCAGTGTATGAGTGCCGTACATCTGGCGTACCTCTAGCGTGTTCAGCGTGTGCCTGGAGTATGCTTATCGTATAAAGCATACGTCCAATACGCACAAAATTTTTGAACATGCTTAAAAAAATTTTCTGCCTCGCCGTATGCCAGCGTATGCCACCGTATGCGACCGTGCTTGAAACGTATACAACCTATACCTAACGTACCCCTAGCATATGTCAGCGTATACCGGCGTATGAGTGATATTTTTCATACGCTGGCATACGCCAGTACGGTACGCAATAGTGTGACAGGGCCTTTAGCTGAGAAAATACAAACACTTAAAGAAAACGTAAGTTGCAGTTATTTCGATTTTTCCTTTTTGATCCAATATCTTGAACAAAAATGTATAGATTTCAAAGCAGGCAGGACTGCTCAGAGGTTTCCAGCTTGGAAAAATCTGACCTCAGACAAAACAATACTTGACTCTATCAGAGGTATTACAATACCCCTCGATGAACTACCACACCAAGGTACAGTAGGGTTAATCTGAACCCAAAATTTAGTTACATCGAGACACTAGCTATAAATACTGAAATCGAGAGACTACTTGCTAGGGAAGTAAATGAAATAGCGTCACATGAACAGGGGAGATAATCTCTCCTATTTTTGTCAGACAGAAAAAAGATGGACAATTCAGACTCATTCTGAATCTGAAAGAGTTCGACAAGTCTGTGACTTATACCCATTTTAAAATGGACACACTACAAACAATTACAAATCTTATGACAAAAATTGCTTTATGGCCTCAGTTGACCTAAAAGATGCATACTATACAATCCCAGTGCACAAAGGTCATAGGAAATATCTAAAATTTTGTGGAATCAGAACCTTTAGCAATTTACCAGCATGCCAAATGGACTGTCTTGTTGTCCAAGGTTGTTTACCAAAATCTTGAAACCTCCCCTCACAGCCCTTCACAAGAAAGGGCATATTTCAAGCAATTATATAGATGACCTATACCTACAAGGTCAAACATTTCACAAATACAAAGATAATGTGCTTGATACTGTAGAACAATTTGACTCCCTAGGGTTTATAAGTCACCCCAGCAAGTCAGCTTTTGAACCTAGTCAAATACTGATCATCGTAGGGTTTCGATTAGACTCAGTCAAGATGACAATTTCTCTGGCTGAAGAAAAGGCCACTGCCATTGCAGAACACTGCAAAGCACTTGTGGATTTAGACATGGTCAAAATACTTGCAGTGGCGTAAGTAGCCTGCCAGGGGTCATGTATGGGGCATTATACCATAGAAACATTAATTGAACTCGATAAGACTCGGGCATTAAGACAAAACGCTGGTAATTTTGATGCGTACATGACATTAAGTGATTGTGCTAAAAAAGAATTGAATTGGTGGGTTAGAAATGCTCAGGAAAGCTATAACTTAATTTCACATGGGAACCCAGACAAAGTACTAACCACTGATGCTTCGCTCACAGGCTGGGGTGCAGTATTTTAAAATGAATCCACTGGAGGTTCATGGTAAACAGCAGAAAAAACTATAAATCAATGCTCTAGAATTATTAGCTGTGTTTTTTGGGCTGAAATGCTATGCCAAAAATGCTAACAATATTCATATAAGAATTAGGACCGATAACACAACTGCACTATCCACCGTTAACCATATGGGTACATGTCACTCCGACATTTGTATTACCATAGGTAAGGATACTTGGGAGTGGTGCCTTGCCCGCTCTATCTGGATTTGAGCTGCACACATTCCGGTAAAAATGAATGTAAAAGCAGACATGGAATCTAGAAAAATCAACTCCGGAGCCGAGTGGATGCTTAATCCTACTGATTTGCAAAAATCTTTGACCCAATTACAATTCACTCCAGTAATTGACCTTTTTGCATCCAGAATCAATAAACAGTTTGTGCGGTATGCATCATTTAGACCTGACCCAGAGGCCGAAATAATAGATGCCTTTACGATACAATGGGGAAATCTAAAATTTTACATGTTTCCCCCGTTTAGTGTCGTTCCAGCAGTTTTACGAAAAATTGTAGAGGACCAGGCCATGGGTGTTTGTTTTCTACCAGATTGGTCCACACGTGTCTGGTATCCCAAGGCCATGAACACACATGCATAGGGAAGCCAATATTACTCCAACCGAAACAGGACAGACTAATACTAAGAACTTGCGACTTCTAGTTTGTCTATTATCAGGACTAAACTAGAACGACATAACATTTCAGCTACAGCAAAGGACGTCATTATGGCGTCTTGGCGCGAAAGTACCAAGAAACAATACCGCACATATCTTACTATAGGTGGAAACAGTTTTGTGCTGAGAGAAACATTAATTGGTCCAATGCTACGGTTGAGCAGGGCATAGATTTCCTGGCAAATTTATTTGAACAGAAATTGAGCTACAGTGCTATAAACACAGCAAGGTCAGCGTTATCTGTGATGCTAACACCTAAAGACGGGACGTCATTTGGAGAAAACCGACTAGTATGCAGGTTTTTGAAAGGCGAATTTGAAATTAAGCCAGCATTGCCAAAATATAAGAAAATATGGGATGTTGAACAGGTCCTAACTTACGTAAGGTCACTAACGCTGAACTCGGAACTTTCTCTGAAGCAGCTTTCCCATAAATTAGTAATGCTACTGGCTCTCCTAACTGGACAACGTTGTCAAACTATTCACAAACTTATGCAGGAATTGCCAGGGAAATAAATATTCGCCATTGGGGAAAAGCTCAAACACACCAAGCCAGGAACTCATCAAAAACCAATAGAACTCTCGAGCTATGCAGACAGGGACCTGTGTGTTGTTCGACATTTAGACGAATACATTCAACGGACAACATCAATACTCACAGACAATTCACAAATGTTGATCAGTTTCATAAAACCACACAATCCGATATCGAAAGATACGGTAGCGCGTTGGATCAAGCAGATCGGCTGCAACATCATATGGATTCGCGAAGGGAGCTAGACTTACCGAAATTCTTGAAGCAGCAGGATGGTCCAACGCTCAGACTTTCGCCTCATATTATCAAAAACCAATTGTGACAGACACGCTGGGAACTAACATTATGCAGGCGTTTGCAGCAGATGCTGAACGAGATCGAGTTTAGAACTTCACATTTGTTGAAACAATGTTTACAGTTAATAAGTTAATACTGAACCTTGGCATTGAACGCTTATTTCATTAAAACTGTTTCAGTTTGTTATATTAATATTTCATTTCCAACTTACGGAGACTATCAAATTACTCCTGATTACCGAACTTCAAAATCTCATGGTACTCCGTAGTGACGTAGCTGAAGATGGGATAGAATTTAAAAATTAAACGAAACTTACCTTAAGTTGAAGATTGATTGTAATTCTACTTATCATCAGCTGGAACGAAGGAGTAACATGCCCACCTCTATTCTTGGCAGGCCCACCGCACTCCTTCGTTCCTTGCTCTTCGGCAATCATTCGCGTTAAATACTGACTGACAAGCAATGCGGATGCTTCTCATGTTATTCCTTCGTTCCAGCTGATATGAGTAGAATTACAATCAAACTTCAACTTAAGGTAAGTTTCGTTTAATTTTCAAATTAATTGGCCGATTATATGTCGTGATTGGCCACCAACTAATCGAATCAGCAGTTTTGTGATCTCTACATCTAGGACCTTCTTTGCTATTTTATTGCTGCTGAAATTGATTATAACCATCAACGTGCAACACTGCAGAACATTGAAAGTGGTCAATCTTTAAGAGGGAATCTCCACTATCACCGAGCAACTGGTGGCACATGATGAAAAATGAAAAGTTTTCTTATTTTGTCCAGTGATACACTAATGTATACTTAGAAATGTGATGGGGTTTGTTTTCTGAAATATTATTTTAAACGCCAAAAAAATTATCAAAACCTGACATGTACCCAAGATTCGTGAAATTAGCTAAAAACATAGTGAGTCATAGCCTCTCGAAAACTTCGTTTTGCTCAGTTCGCGTCTTTAGGAAACCTCACTTTCGGTTTTTAAACGTGTATATAAGATGTTTATAAACAACGATAGTCTATTTTGCAATCTTTTAAATGATGTTTCAAAGTCAAGGCAAGCGTGTAAAAATCGCCTTATTTTGCGATCCAAAAAATTCTAAATTGGTACTTTTTGAAAATTAATTTTCCGTATCGGGGAAAGCTCCAATTTCCTTGAAATTTAGGGGATTTAAAGAGAAATTGATGCTCTAAAAGCTGATGTAAAAATTATTTTGGGGCTTTTTGTTACCGCGGAATTATACTGACTATAATATCGGGAAAATCACAAGAAAAACCTTAAGTTAAAAAATTTTAAGTTTGGTACATTTTTTGAAAATCGTTTTCCCTTTCCGGTAAAACTCCGATTTCCTTCAAATTTAGACAAATGTATGAGCAAATGTTGCTCTCAAATCTGGTGTAAAAAATATTATGGGGTGTTTTGTTATCACGAAATTATAATGTCTATAATATACAGCCGATTATGTAGACAGACACTTATAGACAGGCAGTACGTCTAGACACAGTCTGCTCAGATAGACTGTCGAAACGTGAGTATTTATACTTGTTTTCTCTTGTTATTTGGTTTTGACAGATAAATTATAAATTATTTTAAATTATTTTGCTTGTTTATCGGTATTTTAGAGAAATAAATAGTCAATATGAACATCATGTTGCAAAAGCTCCGTGCGCGTGACTTGACACATAATAATTAATAGACGAAAGATCAGTTATTGATAGCCTGCTTAAATCCATTACTCAAAGTCTCAATAGCTCGTAAAATCAATCCGTATTATCTACTTTTTTCAAACTGAAATGTATGTGCTTAGTTTTTTCTGAAGTAGTCGCATAAATCATTGAGATTAGGGCTAGATTGTATTAAACTCGCGATGTGACTACAATGACAATGTCAATGTAATTAGTGACGTGTTTGACAGTTTGTATGAATAAACTTCCGAATACACAGAAATTATAAAGTAATATCAAACCTGATGTATAGAACATACGCTGAATTTACTTTGTTATATGCACAATAACTGCATGTAAGCGACTTGCTCTTTTAAGAAACCAATTTGCTAATAATCATTCTTTTTTCAAAATCATGCGGACCTTTATTTATCACTTAAATAATATACCTTAAAATACTGACAATTGATTAATTTTAAGCAGCTACATTATCCATGACAAACTGCAAAAAATGAAGATATTACCCATACTTTTCTGCAACTTATCCAACATATCAGACTTGTAAACACGATGTCATACCCTATAGGGAGTATCGTTATAAGTTGAAGTTCTGAGCAATTTCAGAACTCTAGCTGTACGTCGCCGCCATGCCATTAAGTTGGGGCCATGGTCCCGCTTCCCCGGGTCCTGGGATTTAATGAAGTGTGACGTGCGTATTTTGAACAAAATTGCTCGTTACAAATTGTATGAAATTCCATGTCTTAAACAAAAAACCAAATGTTGTTGAATGCTATTAATCGTCTTCTTTCACTACATAACTTCAGGCGCATTTCTAATTTCGTTTAAAAAATATTTAAAGTTATCTAACTTTTGTTTAGGGCTGAAACACGTATTTCAATTGCTCGATCAAAATACGTTACACTTCATTGAATCCCGGGTATAAGCGGGACCATATAAACAGCCTTCTTATAATCAAATTTCTCATGAGAGCGAAACGCAGTGCCGTAGCTAGCTCGATAATTGGGGGGGGGGGGGCAGACATTCATATATTCGTGTTCTGCGTTATTAATTTCTTTTGAAATCGATTGTTTTTATGGTCTGTGAACACAAATATATGAATATCTGCCCCCCCTCCAATTATCGAGCTAGCTACGGCACTGGCGAAACGCAAATTTTGTATCATCGCCTCTGATCATCGCCCAAGTTTGTATATTTTAAATTCCGATGTATATTAAAATACGTATACTTTCAAACATCAAACCTTTATTATTATTATTATTATTATTATTATTATTATTATTATTATTATTATTATTAATTATATTTCAACACGGTACAATTTCACCTATACTAAAATTAATTATGTACAAGATATAAAAAGAAAAAAGGTGATCTTCCAACCGGCCGTGCTCACACAAACAGAAATTAAATAAGAAATAATTACAAGAAAATTATTTTAAGTAGATGGAAACAATGGCAGGATCACTTGATGTTAATTTGCATGCTTCAAGTTAGATTTAAAATTAGCAATAGTTGTTGATGCTTTTACCGATGCAGGAAGACAGTTCCAGACTTCCGCACCTCTGTAGGAGAATACGTTTAAAAATAGGTACGCACTGCGTACATGTTGCATGCCATCTGAAACTTATGATCATAGATATCTTATATAAGATATCTATGCTTATGATGCGCTATAGCGCTTATAACCTTTGGTACAACTGGCGTGAAACTTAAAATATCAATTCAATAAATTTAATATCAATATATTTATTGCAAAATAGCTATTATGTCAAAATAAGAAAACTTAAGACTCTCACGCGAATTTGCCTACGGTGTAGACCCCAGCAGAAACACGCGAATATAGACAATGGTTTTTAAGCGACCGTTAATAGTTAGTTGCAAGCGACGGTAATAATAACATTAAAGGGAGTAGGGACTCTACAGTAATTTTTTAGTCGAAAAGCCACCTTAAGTAGGGGACTCCACGGAGATTCGTTTGGCTGTATCTTACATGCAGTATCCATGAATATGAGTACTTCCGCACACCGGAAGACGCATGCATGCCGTGATGCGCATGTCAAGTAGCGACAATAACAAAAATGTAAACAATACTTACTTGACTAAAAAATTACTGTAGGGCCCCTTTAACAATGTCAAGGCGGGTCAAGGTTTTATCAAAAGCGATTGACTGTTAGATTTACTTTACAAATTAATAACTAAATAACGTTATTTCCTATAGCTATAGCTTTATTGTAACTTTTTAATGGGTATAAAAAACGCGTGGAAACGGTGAATTAGTACAATAGATTGAAAATGATTATTATTTATCATTTTGACGTTTGAGTGATTGAAATGCTACCTCCTCCGCAGGCCCTTTTTTCCGGGCACATTTGCGGGCGGTGCAAATTTTTGCGGGCCACTTTTAGAACTTGAAGCGAAGCGCGAAGGGCCTGCCATATAATGTGTCGAAAATCGGGAATATGTGTCGAAAATCGGGAATCCAAAAAATCTCTTTGAAATTTCGTCCATCATTAGTTCAAATTAATTTATCACGTAAGCTGGGTTAATTCTGGACTTGCTGACAAAAAATCAAATGGAAATACGGCAAATAAAGAAAGAAATCGATATACGACCGGCGTCATATTTGGACGAGAATGCACAAAATACAGAGGAATCGGGAATCCAAAAAAATCTCTTTGAAATTTCGTCCATCATTAGTTCAAATTAATTTCTCACGTAAGCTGGATTAATTCTGGACTTGCTGACAAAAATATCAAATGGAAATACGGCAAATAAAGAAAGAAATCGATATACGACCAGCGTCATATTTATACGAGAACGCAGAAAATACAGAGAAATATTATTTAAGTTTAAAGTGCACCAAGATCTGCTGTTCATCCACATCCCACCATCCGCGACATGACGTCTTTTATCTTCTGGGCCTTCTGATTTGTTTCGAATTACATTCTGAAGAAATTTGATCCGCTGAAACATGAAACAGTATTTTTGGGCATATGACGTATTGACATAAGTTATGCTGGTCGTTCGACGGCAGCGATGTCGATACTCTCAATATATCGTCTTTTGAAATGGACTTGGTATGTAGATTTTTGTGGTAATGGAGTTCTACATGCAGACATTGTGTTATTATCACTCAAAAGACAAAGAACAAGCGAACAATGAGACGCTATATTACTTCTATTTTAATACATTGTGAATGTATTTTTTAATATGCAAATATATTTTCAGTTTTTCACCATATCCATCTTTCAAATTGTGCTTTTACTGTTTCATGCAGACTGATGTTTGAATCATATCTAAAGTATTTGAAATGGCTTATCATAGGCTTAGTAGAAAAGTATGTAGATGCATGTAATATCGTTGATGTTGTTATTGTTGTATTTGCATTGTATAAACACTTTATAAAACAGTCTCCATCGGCATCGAAAAGCGGTGGCTAGTTATAAGTACTTTTTAGTCTACCAAGACCACTGGATGCTATTTCTAAATATTATTTAGATCTATTAAATCAGTGCTGGTATGTATGTTGTATATTAAGTCATAATAGTAATTAGTAAAGTCAAAAGGAAAATTTCGATTTATATAGCACCCGCCATCTTGAAAACATTACTCGGCAGGCGCTCTCGCCTGTGACCCGCATTTTCCGAACCTGCCCGAAATGCTCCCTAAGCGCCTGCGGAGGAGGTAGATTGAAATGAGTTAATTTACACTATATCGAATGTCATGTTGAATCTTATGCGTACTTCACAATGGTTGCTATTTCGTTGTATATTTCAATCTCGATTTCAATTGTACTACTATTTATAATTTAAAATTGTGTTTGATATTTATATTTCATGTTGTTTACAAAATGTGCTGTAGTTTTGAAGCTTTGCACACAATATAATCAGTGCGAGCACAATGGCTCCGTTTCAGTTTGAGTGCTCCGTTTCATTTGAGTATACTAGAAAATACATGCATGCAGAAACCCTCGCCTTGCTGACAAAACCATTTTATTTTCCGAACGTGAAGTATTTTAAGTAGTTATCATGGTAACACGATAATTTTTTAAGACTATTTTTACAAATGAAAAATCCCCTATAAATATCACTTTTAATTACAAAATTATCAATTTCCTAAACATATATATGTTAGGTATGTTATTAGTATAGGTAATAGCATGGTTTCGAGTGCAATTTGGATATAACATGCACGAGTGAGTTTTTCAAAGACCTCAAAATAGCACGAGTCCGAAGGACGAGTGCTATTTGAGGTCTTTGAAAAACTGACGAGTGCATGTTTATCCAAATTGCACGAGAAACCATGCTATTACTTGTTAATAATGTGCATAAAAGTATTCGAGACAATCAAATTTGAACTTGACATTTATTAATAAACAAAGAACAAATATATTAGCTACACGTCAAAAATCAAAATGCATGCATAAACTAGGCAAAACAAAACAAAACAAAACACTTTGTTTGTACAAAGCACTTACTTGTTCGTGTCCGGGTAATTTTTAAGCGCATAACTATGTATAACAATATATAAAACAAAAGCGCATAACAGTATATAAAACAAAAGTTCAAAACAGTCAATCAGAGTCACTTTCAATCATGTAAGCGCGACGTCGCTTCGGGTTCGAAGTATGCTGAGGCAGAATTGGCGAAGTCATCGTTGAACCAACTGAGAAAGTTACTTGGCAGTTGTTGAAATTGTTGTTGTTTAACATTTTCTGTCGACTTTCTTGTCTCACCGTTGCTTGACTCAGTTGATTACTGCTGCTCACGTTTAGTTGACCTTGCCGTTGGAAATCAGCAAGAAAGGCTTGCTGTTGTTGCATTGCCATTTTTGCCAGGCTTGAAGTGGATGCCCCATCGCGACGTTGTTGTGGATTATTTCTCCATGATATCCTGGAAGACATTTGCTGCTGTTCTTGTTCGTCTCCTTCATCATAATCGTCGAGCGATTGCAAGTTGCGGTGACCAGTTACTTTCACGATCGAGGAACGCTCAACGTTGTTCTTTTTAAATTTGTTGACTACCGTCTTACGAGCACTGTGATTTGTCAATTTCTTTTGTTGTTGATGCTCAAGTTGTGTTCCCTGGACAATCCTTTTCATCATTTCGTTGATGCGATTTGTGCCCATAGGTTGAGCTTTGTACCAAGTGTTGTTGTTGGAGTTGTACTTTATCGACAGGTAAAACGGGCCGGAATTTTGGAGTGCTGCTGGTTGCCGAGACAAGTACTCATTGAACAGAGCAACAGGACATCTTTCATCACCTGTAGCATACATCTTGGGCAGGAAATCTCTCGACTTTTTTGACAAGCCTCCATTTCTTGTTTTGGTGGGACCTTCGATGTATTCAACGTACTCGAGTCCGTCGTTGTCTTTGCCAATTGTGAAGTCTTCAACTTTCATGCCGTGATGCTCCTGTCGTCCGCGAAGGCCAAAATATTGTGTCAGCAACCACCACATAGTATTGATTAAACTCTCGGCTGTTTTATTACCCAGTTTTCCGTTGGTCCACAGGAGTTCTTTCTCCTCTTGCGTTAAACTTCGAGCTTTGTTTGGTCTCTTGCCTTTCCCTTCTTCGCGTAGACGCTTTGCCTTTCCCTCGAGAACTTCTTTTGATTTGCAAAATTCCCGGTCTCGTATTATGGACTTCTGATAACCACAGTCTTTCAAATAACGGTCCAAGGCTGCTATCATAACGCGGAGACTGTCTGGTTCGTATTCACCGCCATCCTTGTTCCTCACTTCACCGTAAAATTTCTCCAAAATTTTGTCTAAGTCGAACGCCTCGTACGTTTCAATGGCCTCACAAAACCTCGCTCCTTTGCCCATGATTTAAAAACGCCAAGCCAAAAGATTGTGCTTCTCTTTGTATTTCTACTTTTTGCATTATTTCGCAGTTCTTCAATTGAACTCACTTCCAAGTGCGGGAATCGTTTCCCACCGCTAAATGCGGCCATGTTTGTTTTGAAAAAAAAAGAACATTTTGCCGCCAAAACGTAGCTCAATTTTGATTGGTTCATAGTGATAACAGAAAATTGCACTGTGATTACAGAAAATTGCACCGTGATTACAGAAAATTGCACTGTGATTACAGAAAATTGCACTGTGATTACAGAAAATTGCACTGTGATTACAGAAAATTGCACTGTGATTACAGATTTTTGCACTGCTGTTTGGGATTAACTGCACTGAAATCAACCTATCACAATCGAGTAATACTTTTATGTATACTATTAGCAATTTTATAACATTCTATATAGTTGTTGTTTTAATATTATCAACATACATAGCATAAAGTAATTTTATATTCTTAATAACGAGAAGAGCATATAATTAATTTTTTAGTAATTTTATAGTATAGTAATTTTAGTAGTCAATGCATGTACTATGTTCTAACACTTAGTACATATTTTTAACACTTAATGTTAAGCGCTAATGAGCTATGGAAAATGGCGCTATATAAATGAATTATAATAATAATAATAAATAATAATAATAATTTAAAGGACTTTTTTAAAATTTTAAGTTCAAGGACAAGTTGTACTTTTCTGTCAATCCATTGTTTCCGCCCAAGATGGAACTGGGGAACTTGTGCGTGTTAGGCACACGTGATGACCACTACACTACGAAAACCTGCATGCTGATATAAATGTTTGCCAATGCATGGCTAATGCATACCGAGATGTGGTTGTATTACCTGGGAGAAAATTACTTGATATATCAGAGAAAATCGCCGTGTCGACCCCATTAATTATTAAACAATTAAATGCTAATCAGCTAAAAACATTCTTCGTGGTGTCAGTTTGAAGCAGCACATTGACAGCGGATCTCGAGTTCTCCCCATCACTCAATCTTGAGATCAATCGTGGAAAACAGTTGTCATATATATTGCTTCGTTTAATATTGGGCGGTACGGCAGATCTCGACTGCTCGTCAATGCATTAATCAGTGTTCAACATGAAACAGATTTTAGGGAAGATTACGTTAGAACAAGTAATAAATAATGCGCAAGTTCTTCTCTCTTCGATGCCGAAAACGGGGGAAATGGAAGCAATAGAAGGAAAAGTTCATTGTGCAACCCGAATCGCGTGTCAAAAATTAACGATCTTTAAAAATTGGTTTACCTTTTCACAACCGATCATGTACGCAAGTTCAAATTTGATAATAAACAGCCTGGCTTCGGAACACATTTACAATATTTCCGCCCAGGTTCGAACTGGGGACCTTGCGCGTGTGAAGCGCACGTGATGAACACTGCACTACAGAAACTTGGCTGGTGAAGCACGAGTTCAGTGCGTTGCTGAATTTTTTGTGTAAATAAAACACTTCATTTTGTGTAAATAAAACAACAAATGCATGCTTCTGCGCAAGATCGAACTGGGGATCTTGCGCGCGTAAAGCGCACGTGATATCAGGATGACGAAACTGGCTTGTGATGCAAATGTGTTAAATTACAGCGTTTAGAACTGTCAGAAAAGACAGCCATACAATAGCCTAAAGTGGCAAAGACTAATGAAAGAAACTTAATCCTAATGATTATACAAAGAAACGCAAGGGCATGGACCCTGCAAAAATCACATAGTGAGCTAAATTGCGACGCCGTTTATACCGCGAAGCTAGCTTCAAACATTTTATAACAATAAACGAAGGAAATTTGGGATCACTAGAATTCGTATATTACCACGTATAAAGCATCTTTTCGAAAGGTTGATTATACATGAAATGTTTTCTGCTGTTATTAATTCTGTTCTGTATTGGAAAGAGGGTAACTCTCTCCACAGTTAATCCAATTTAGGCCTATATGAATCGTATAGCCACAGATTTTGCGGTAATAACTTAATAACCTGGAAAGTATACCTACTGGAAATATTTGCATTTTCGCAGTTTTTGTGCTTGTGCCATGTTATTGTTATTACTCGTGGAAGCGGAATGATATATCTTAAATTTTAACATTACCATGTTTGCCGAATTTCGTCAAATATCGATATCGAAATTAATTAAATTTTATTAATCTGAAACATATTGATCGAACAAGTAAATGCAGTGTCTTAAATGTTCAATTTCTCTCACAAAGAAGCTTACTTTCCTATTTTATGCAAAGCATATGATAGATACGTTGCATTGCTCATGTTGCTGCTATTTTAAAGTAAAAAATACCTTAAAAATAGCCAGAAAAGGGGCTCAAATAACCTAGCCTTCTTTTGAATAATTGAATACAGTTGAATGTGAGGCCCATGCAATCTAAGGCCGAATCTGGGGCCCAATCCGTGGCTACCTTCACAGTGCTAAAACGATTGTTATCTCTAAGCGAAGGCATATATGGCTGTAAATCTACTTACGAAGTTTTGAACATCCACCCAGGGCCCTATAAACCTACACGCGCTTAATATAGTCTAGTGTAGATGTAGACCTTGACCCGAACACACAAACGGAAGCCGTCTGAAATTTCAACACTTTGATTTATGACATATATGTCTCCCTTGGATGCCTCGAAATTTCTCCCATTTATATTCTAGTAGTCTATTTCTCTTACATATACAGTAATAGAGTTCAAACATGATGCCCCTATACAGTAAATCTACTCAACCGAATTGGAGTTATTACAGTAAGAAACTGTTGCTTGTAGAAATAAAAGCCTACAATGAAGACTTTTCTGTCAACGCCGCCCGATAAGTTCAGCAAAATTCAATTTTTATTACCTCGAACATATCTGTCAAATGTGACATTTTGCCCAATACTTTGAATTACGTTTCCCACATGAGAACCGCATTGTGAGATATCATATATTCATATTATATTTTTATTTATTACTTCGAACATGCATGTCTGTCAAATGCGTTTAAATTTATTTTGACAAATACTTTGACTTATCTTTCCAACATGAGAACTGCATTGTGAGATATCATATATTCATATTATATTTTTATTTATTACCTCCAACATGTCTGCCAAATGAGTTTTAATATATTGTGCCAAATACTTTATATTGGGTTTCCCACATGAGAACCGCAACGTGAGATATCATATATTCATATTATATTTTTTTTTATTACGTCCAACATGTCTGTCAAATGCGTTTAAATATATTAACGTCGAACATGTCTGTCAAATGTGTTTAAATATATATTTTGCCAAATACTTTGAATTACGTTTCCCACACGAGAATCGCAATGTTAGATATAACATTATCGGATTTTATACACATACTATAGCTGGCTAAAGTGTTTGTAAGTAATAATAAAATATAGCAATGTAATATCTAATATAAGCATCCTACACCGAATGACACACCGCGACCATCATACACCATCTGTACCATATTCACCGTCTGACAGCTCTTCCCTGGTTAACCACCCTACACCATCATACACCATCTAACAACCATCTGACACGCTTCGACCATCATACACCATCTGACAACCATCTGATACATTTCCACCATCATACACAATCTGTACCATCTTCACCATCTGACAACCCTTCCCTGTATAACCACCCTAAACCATCGTACACCATCTGACAAGCATCTGACACATTTCGACCATCATACACCATCTGACCAAGGGCGTGAGACGCTTCTGAGGCCAAGGGGAAATTTTTTTAGTACGGACCGAACTAAACGGTAAATAACGTGTTCATTTTTTTATTTGATAGTACACGGTTATAATGAATACCGATAAAATTCCAGTTGTTGTAATTACATTTGAGATCCGTTGCGTTTGTTACATTGGTGCTAAAATGACGCAATAAAAGTTGGATAAATGGATTTTAGTTTCATTGCAAAAGATGCTTTTCTACTGAACAAGAAAACAGAAGGTAAACTAAGTAAAAACATTTATCTTCCGGTTTGTTTTACACCATGGACATACTTGAAAAATACTTTTTGACAGAAAAATACAAATTTTAGTTGCCGAAAAACAATTTGTTCATTACAACTTTTATAAAAACAAGTTTGACCGAAATAAGCTAATGCAAGTGTCTTTAAACTTGGCATTTAAAGTACTTTTTTAAAATTTTATGTTTAAGGGCAAGTTGTACGTTTTCTATCAATCCTTTGTTTCCGCCAGGATCGAACTGGGGACTTTGCGCGTGTTAGGCGCACGTGATGACCACTACACTACGGAAACCTGCATGCCGATAAATGTTCGCCAATGCATGGCTAATTCATTCCCATATGTGGAAGTTTTACCTGGTAGAAAACTACTTGATATATCAGGGAAAATCGCTGTGTCGTTCCAATTAATTTTTAAATAAGTAAATGCTAATCAGCTAAAAATATCTTCGTGGTGTCAGTTTGAAGCAGCACATTGACAGTGAATCTCGCGTTCTCCCCATCACTCAATCTTGAGATCAATCGTGGGCAACAGCTGCCATATTGATTGCTTCGTTAACTATTGGGCGGTAGGGCAGATCTCGACTGCCGGTCAATGCATTAATCAGCGTTTAGCATGAAACAGTTTTTAGGGAAGATTACGCTAGAACAGGAGATCGCGCGTCGCAAATTAACGGTCTTTAAAAATTGGTTTACCTTTTCACAACCGATGATGTACGCAAGTTAAAATTTGATAATAAACAGCCGGGCTTCTCAACACATTTACTATGTTTCCGCCCAGGTTCGAACTGGGGACCTTGAGCGCGTGAAGCGCACGTGATGACCACTACACTACAGTAATTTGGCTGGTGAAGCCCGAGTTCAGTGCGTTGCTGAAATTTGCTCTTTTCATTTTCTGTAAATAATACATCAAATACAGCTTTTTTCCAGGATCGAACAGGGAACCTTGCGCGCGTAATGCACATGTAATGACCGCTACACTACAGAAACAAGCGCTTGCTAGGAATTCTTTGCAAACTTCTCCAGTTCCAACGTTCAAAATTAACTGAAAATTCATTCAATTGATCCTCCCGCAGAAGCCAATTTTGATTCTTCTCTTGAAGCAATAGAAGGAGCACTGACGTGCGTTGTAAGAAACGATTGTTCATTTAGTTGCAGTCGGATGTATTTTTCTGGTTTAAATGAAATATTTTATCTCCATTATTTAAGAAAGTAAAATGATGTAAAGTACATTAGGCACAAAGGCTGTCAGCTATCAGGATGTCCGAGCGGTCAAAGGCGCCAGACTCACGCTTCCAAACTTGCTCTGCTAATGCGCAGCCAAAGGGCGTTCTGGTATATGACACTCCTGACAGAAAATTTTAATATTATTTCGTGAGACCGTTGAATATATTGGTGCAATTCTTAATCCTGGGGATGACTACAAACCAGTCGAAACGTTGATTAAAAACCAAAATGTTGTTCGGAGTTACTGTTATTTTGAGTTTTGTTAACATAGTGTCAAACTAGTGCGGAAACAAAATAAATATATGTTATTTACCGACTGCGAGGTCGGTACAAAAAAATATTTTCCCGAGGTCTCAAAAGCGGCCCGAGGCCGAAGTCCGTGAGACGCTTCTGAGGCGAAGGGAAAATTTGTTTAGTACCGAAAGAACTAAACGTAAATAACTTGCTCATTTTTTTATTTGATAGTTCACGATTATAATGAATACCGATAAAATTCCAGCTGTTGTAAGTAGATAGATATATAGATCAACTTTGTTTAAACACATTGGCCTTTTCAGCAAAAGCCGAATTCCAAAAGGGATGTGTACTTACAAATTATTATTTATATACTAGCTCTATTACATACATAACAAATACAATTATATACCTATTTAGACAAAAAATTAACTACTATTTTAAGTCGAGATTAAGGTCGAGGAAGATAGCTTTTTACAGAACGATCGTTTGCGTTTGTTACTTTAGTTCAAGCATGGCTGTGAAACTGCTAAAATGACGCGATAAAAGTTCGATAAATTGCTTTTAGTTTCATTGCAATAGATGCTTTTCTACTGAACAAGAAAACAGAAGGTAAACTAAGTAAAAATATTTATCTTCCGTTTTGTTTTACAGCATGGACATGCTTGAAAAATACTTTTTGACAGAAAAATACAAATTTTGGTTGCCGAAAACAATTTGTTCATTACAACTTTTATAAAAATAATTTTGACCGAACTAAGCTTAGGAAGTGTCTTTAAACTTGGCACTTAAAGTACTTTTTTAAAATTTTATGTTTAAGGGCAAGTCTATGGATAAACATGTTACCAATATTTGCAAGAACTGTTTTTTACATTTGAGAAAAATAGCAAGAATAAAAGAGTACTTATCAGCGTCAGATATCCAAACTTTAGTTCATGCCTTTATTACATCGAAACTGGATAATTGTAATTCTTTATTATACGGATTGCCTAAATTTCTTATTGATCGGTTACAGAATGAGCTAAACTGTGCTGCTCGACTGGTGACAGGAAGCAAAGAATACGATAATATTACAATAACAATTTCCCCATCAGTCAACGCATCATCTATAAAATTGTTCTTATTACGTATAAATCTCTGAAAGGGCTCAGCTCCACATTACATTAATAATATGGTAAAACCTTACACACCACCAACAAATTTACGCTCCTCATCCAAAGGATTGCTTGCCATACCCTCAGTCAAATTAGTGAACTATGGTGAACGATCGTTCTCATATACTGCACCTAAACTGTGGAACGAACTGCCAGAGTATATAAGAAAGTGTGAGACCTTGCCTATTAAAAAACCCAGATTAAAGACACATCTTTTTAATTAAACAGTATTATGACTAAGTTATTATTTTAACAATATTATTAGCAATTTTATAATATTCTATATAGTTGTTGTTTTAATATTATCAACATACATCACATAAAGTAATTTTATACTCTTAACGAGAAGAGCATATAATTAATTTTTTAGTAATTTTATAGTATAGTAATTTTAGTAGTCAATGCATGTACTATGTTCTAACACTTAGTACATATTTTTAACACTTAATGTTAAGCGCTAATGAGCTATGGGAATTGGCGCTATATAAATGAATTATAATAATAATAATAAATAATAATAACAATTTAAAGGACTTTTTTAAAATTTTAAGTTTAGGGACAAGTTTGTACGTTTTCTATCAATCCATTGTTTCCGCCCAAGATCGAACTGGGGACCTTGCGCGTGTTAGGCGCACGTGATGACCACTAGACTACGGAAACGTGCATGCCGATAAATGTTCGCCAATGCATGGCTAATTCATACCCAGATGTGGTTGTATTACCTGGGAGAAAACTACTTGATATGTCAGAGAAAATCGCTGTGTCGATCCCATTAATTGTTAAACAATTAAATGCTAATCAGCTAAAAAAATTCTTCGTGGTGTCAGTTTGAAGCAGCACATTGACAGGGAATCTCGCGTTCTCCCCATCACTCAATCTTGAGATCAATCGTGGAAAACAGTTATCATATATATTGCTTCGTTTAATATTGGGCGGTACGGCAGATCTCGACTGCTCGTCAATGCATTAATCAGTGTTTAGCATGAAACAGATTTTAGGGAAGATTACGTTAGAACAAGTAATAAATAATGCGCAAGTTCTTCTCTCTTCGATGCCGAAAACGGTGAAAATGGAAGCAATAGAAGGGAAAGTTGATTGTGCAACCCGAATCGCGTGTCAAAACTTAACGATCTTTAAAAATTGGTTTATCTTCTCACAACCGATCATGTACGCAAGTTCAAATTTGATAATAAACAGCCTGGCTTCGCAACACATTTACAATATTTCCGCCCAGGTTCGAACTGGCGACCTTGCGCGTGTGAAGCGCACGTGATGAACACTGCACTACAGAAACTTCGCTGGTGAAGCACGAGTTCAGTGCGTTGCTGAATTTTTTGTGTAAATAAAACACTTCATTTTGTGTAAATAAAACAACAAATGCATGCTTCTGCCCAAGATCGAACTGGGGACCTTGCGCGCGTAAAGCGCACGTGATATCAGGATGACGAAACTGGCTTGTGATGAAAATGTGTTAAATTACAGCGTTTAGACCTGTCGGAAAAGACAGCAATACAATAGCCTATAGTGGCAAAGACTAATGAAAGAAACTTAATCCTAATGATTATACAAAGAAACGCAAGGGCATGGACCCTGCAATAATCACATAGTGAGCTAAATTGCGACGCCGTTTATACCGCGAAGCTAGCTTCAAACATTTTATAACAATAAACGAAGGAAATTTGGGATCACTAGAATTCGTATATTACCACGTATAAAGCATCTTTTCGAAAGGCTGATTATACATGAAATGTTTTCTGCTGTTATTAATTCTGTTCTGTATTGGAAAGAAGGTGACTCTCTCCACAGTTAATCCAATTTAGGCCTATATGAATCGTATAGCCACAGATTTTGCGGTAATAACTTAATAACCTGGATAGTATACCTATTGGAAATACTTGCATTTTCGCAGTTTTTGTGCTTGTGCCATGCTATTGTTATTACTCGTGGAAGCGGAATGATATATCTTAAATTTTAACATTACCATGTTTGCCGAATTTCGTCAAATATCGATATCGAAATTAATTAAATTTTATTAATCTGAAACATACTGATCGAACAAGTAAATGCAGTGTCTTAAATGTTCAATTTCTCTCACAAAGAAGCTTATTTTCCTATTTTATGCAAAGCATATGATAGATACGTTGTATTGCTCATGTTGCTGCTAATTTAAAGTAAAAAATACCTTTCCATTCTTACACTAATCTTGTCTAATCCAGCACTTTTGTTAGATTTTAGCTTTCAGCGGAGGCAACAAGCTTGCCAGCTGTCAGGATGGCAGAGCGGTCTAAGGCGCCAGACTCAAGTTTCCAAACTTGCTCCGCTAATGCGCAGACAAAGCTAGGGCTTTCTGGTCCTCTAATGTGGGCAAGGGTTCGAATCACTTTCCTGACAGAAAATTTTAAAATTATTTCGTGAGGCCGTCCAGTATATTGATGCAATTGTTAATCCTGATGTTGAGTTTAAACGTTGATTAAAAATCAATATGTTCTTCGGAGTTTCTGTTATTTTGTGTGTTGTTGTCATATTTGAGGCTATTACGAAACAAAAGAAATACTTAATATTTCTCCGGAAAGTGTCCAAATCCATTCCAAAGACTTATATGAGCATGGATTGCTGAAACTGCCGAAACTATTTCCAGTTTACCGTGCGCAAATTTATGCCGCCTTGCTTTCGATCGAGAGACAATTGCAGTGAGAATTTTCCCATCAATCCATTGTTTCCGTGCCGGATCGAATTGGGGACCTTGCGCGAGTTAGGCGAACGTGATCACCACTACACTACGGAAAAATGTATCCCGAAATATGTTCGGAAATGGCTAATTCATTCCGAGATGCAAAATTTTTACGTGGGAGAACATTACTTGATATATCATGCAAAATCGCATTGTCGTTCCAATTAATTTTTAAATAATTAAATGCTAATCAGCTAAAAAATTTCTTCGTGGTGTCAGTTTGAAGCAGCGCATTGACAGTGAATCTCGCATTTTCCCCATCCCTCAATCTTGAGATCAATCGCGGGAAACAGCTGTCATATTTATTGCTTCGTTAAATATTGGGCGGTAGGGCAGATTTTAGCCGCCCGTCAATACATTAATCAGCGTTTAGCATGAAACAGTTTTTAAAGAAGATTACACGAGAACAGGTAATAAAGATTTGGCAAGTTCTTCTCTCTTCGTTTGCGAAAAAGGGGGGAAATGGAAGGAATAGAAGAAATATTGATTGTGCAATCCGTACCGCGCGCCGCAATTAACAGACTATAAAAATTGGTTTAACTTTTCACAATCGATCTTGTACGCGAGTTAAAATTTGGTAATAAACAGCCTGACTGCGCAACACATTTACTATGTTTCGGCACAGGTTCGAACCGGGGAACTTGCGCGTGAGAAGCGCACGGATTAAATACTACACAAAAAATACTTCTCTGGTGAAGCATGAGTTCTACCCGGTTGCGGAATTTTGCTCAAAACACCAAATGCAGCTTCTGCCCAGGATCGAACAGGGGACCTTGCGCGCGTAATGCGCATGGAATGACCGCTATACTGCAGAAACAAGCGCTTGCTCGGAGTCCTTTGCAAACTTCCCCAGTTTCAAACGTTCAAAATTAACTGAAAAATCATTCAATTGATCCTCCCGCAGAAGCCAATTTTGTTTCTTCTCTTGAAGCAATAGAAGGAGCACTGACGTGCGATGTAAGAAACGATTGTTGAGTTAGTTGCAGTCGGATATATTTTTCTGGTTTAAATGAAATATTTTTCTCCATTATTTAAGAAAGTAAAATGATGTAAAGTACAATAATCGCAACGTTTGTCAGCTTTCAGGATGGCCGAGCGGTGTAAGGTGCCAGACTCAAGTTTCCAGTCTTGCTTCGCTAATGCGCAACCAAAGGGCGTTCAGGTCCACTACTGTGGGCGTGGGTTCGAATACCACTCCTGACAGAAAATTTTAAAATAATTTCGTGAGCCCGTTGAATATATTGGTGCAATTCTTAATCATGAGGATGAGTATAAACCAGTCGAAACGTTGATTAAAAACCAAAATGTTGTTCGGAGTTACTGTTATTTTGTGTTTTGTTGACATATTGGGAGGTCTGTACTAAGAAAATATTTTCCCGAGGTCTCAAAAGCGGCCAGAGGCCGATGGCCGTGAGACGCTTCTGAGGCCGAGTGAAAATAATTTTTAGTACGGAAGGAACTAAACGGTAAATAACGTGTTCATTTTTTATTTGATAGTTCACGGTTATAATGAATAGCGATAAAATTCCAGTTGTTGTAGGTACATTTGAGTTGCGTTTGTTACTTTAGTGCAAGCATGGCTGAGAAACTGCTAAAACGACGCGATAAAAGTTGCGTAAAAAGCTTTTAGTTTCATTGCAATAGATGCTTTTCAATTCAACAAGGAAACAGAAGGTAAACTAAGTGAAAATATATATCTTCCGGATTGTTTTACATTATGGACATGGGTGAAAAATGCTTTTTGACAGAGAAATACAAATTTTAGTTGCCGAAAAACAATTTGTTCAACACAACTTTTATAAAAATGATTTTGACTGAAATAAGTCTAGGAAGTGTCTTTAAACGTGTGAGTTAGTCATGGAGAACGGTGGTGTCAATTTGAGCTCCCCAAATTTAAGCCAAATTCTGGCAAATTCATTGTTGGATTTTATGAGTGAAAGTGTTAAGATACCTACAAATAGTGTGGAAAGTAAAGTACTTTCATCTCTTGTTTTTATTGACGAAAGCTGTTACTACTGGAAAGGCAATTTATCTCAATTAAAGAATTTCGTACAAAATGACTTAAAGTTAATCGGCAAATTATGGTCATCGCCTGGCGGTGAAACGAAGTTATTTATTAAGAACACCGAGATTATCCTTAAATGGACTGGGCAAACTCGGAAGAAGCTGATAATTGAAAAAGACAGCGAAGTAAATCTCGTGGCGAACACGCTAAAACGTTTATGCAATGGTGATATGTTTTGCTTAGATACAGCAGCGTCCTGTAAAGAGTCGATTGATGACAAAGCTAAGCAATCGGTAGCGGCTGACTCTGAATTTTCAACTATATGGGCGGCAATAAATGGGTTTCAAGACGTAGCGACGGCCAAATTGGAAGAAGTAACATTAGCCCACGACAACAAACTTTTTAGAATAGAAGCTGAGGAATGTAAAGTACGATCTAATTACGAAAGAAAAATTGAAAATTTGAATAATAAATGTCATGAATTATTGCTTAAACTTGAATGTAAGAAGGCGCTCGAAGATAGAGTAAATAAACTTGAAGTTTTGGTTGGCAATTTTAAAGCCGATATACACGATCTACGAAATGAGAATGGTTTGTTCAAATAGAAGCCACGGTTGTTTAAAAACTCCACGCCTAAAGTACAACAAAAAAAACACCGGGAACAATGACCTAGATTTAATTGGTACAATTAACATTCCTGATGAACCGATAACTATTGTTTATAAACAACCCCAGGATTTAAATGAAAATTTAGAGTTAAACACCTCTCTCTCAGTTAGCAATAAGACTTCTCGGGCCGACAAAGGATCGGTGTACAATCCTCAGTTGAATTCAGTTATTGAATGTATTGAGGCAAGAAATCAACCTAGAAGCAATCCACCGAGAGGGCCGCGTACGAGCAATATTTCCAAACGTAATTACGCTATTCCCAGCCATCCTTTGCCCAAGCACTAGGTACCTTGAGGTCCTTGCCCATTTCTAAGACGGAGAGGCTTTTGCCTAAAGGGTCCCTTGTGTGACTTCCAGCACAATGATTCGCAATCGTCTAATAATCCAACCAATAATTCGTCGAATAACCCGTTCTATTGTTCGTGAAATAATCGACTAAGAGTGTCCAATAACCTACAGCGATACCCTGATAATTTGGGCTATACATCTTATCCAAATATATCACAACCTATTACTAATCATTTTCCTTTTCCTGTCAATCCAAGCCATTTCCTCCCGTTTCAACCCCTACAGTATCATCCAATGCTTCGACCATATGTATACCCACCACCTCTTTTGACATCAATATAACCCCTTTACGGCCCCTGTCGTGTCCCCCTTAGCACCACCTACAATAACGTTTACTAGGATGCCTTTGAGTGTTCTAAATCGTCCTCGAAAAGTGAAAAGCAGCATTTCAAATCAAAATCATTGTGTAAATATGAATAATCTGATACACATTCAAACCTGTCCAAGAAATCAGGATAGTCCCTCGAGAGATACTAAGAATACGGAACGAACTCGATCTGTAAATTTTAATAATATAATTTATGTCAATTGTACAAGGGAACAGAAGACTTATTTTATGCCTATCAACTTTTGCCTGTTGAATACCAGATCAATAAATAGGAAAGAACTTTTTATTAATGATTATGTGACTGAGAACGATATTGATATTCTAGCAATGACTGAGACATGGTTACGTGAGGATGATAATGAATTTTCTATTGCTGAAATCTGCCCAACGGGGTATCACTTTTATCACGTTACAAGGAAAAATGCACGAGGTGGAGGAGTTGGTCTCTCACTGAAAAAATATATTAAAGTCAAAAAACAATCTAAGAGAAAATTTACTTCTTTTGAATATATTGATGTCACCTTGAATTGCCGTAATACCTGCACCAGAATGATTGTCATTTATAGACCACCCCCATCGAAGACTAATAAATTAAGCAGCTCAATATTTTTTGAAGAATTCTGCATATTTGTGGAACAGTTGATCATATTACCTGGCAATATATTAATGGCAGGAGACTTTAATTTTCATATAGACAACATTGGAGATTCAGATACTATTAAATTCAACAAGATACTGGAATCGTTCAATTTACAACAGCACGTCAATGGGCCAACCCACAAGAAAGGCCACACCTTAGACTTGATTATAACAAGGAATGAAGATAAATTAGTGACTGGTATCAGAATACATGATCCAGTAATATCAGATCATCTTGCCATACATTGTACATAACAGTTAGAGAAACCACCATTAGAACAAGCTGAAATTTATTATCGAAAATTAAACAATGTAAACATGGATAGTTTCAATGAAGATCTAAAAGTACTAGATTTAAATGACGATTATGATCTTTCAGTCCTTATTGATAAATATGAAAATACGTTGAAAGAAACATTACAGCAGCATGCTCCACAAAAACGACGAATTATAACTCTTCGTCCTTTATCACCATGGTACAATGAGGAGATTGGTCAAGAAGAAAGAAATCGCAGGAAACTAGAGCGCCGCTGGCGCGCATCTGGACTATGTATTGACAGACAGTTATATGTCAAACAATGTGAGACAGTGAATGCCATGATAAAGAATGCTAAGACAACATACTACTCATCGGTTATTTCCAGTAATGCACATAATCAGAAAGTTTTATTTAGTACGGTTGATAAATTAGTCCATCGAAAGCCAGAAAAGCGCTATCCAACTGCGTCATCAACGACTGAACTTGTGAATAAATTTTCAGATTTCTTCAATAATAAGATTGCTATTATATGGAAAGAACTAGCCATCGATTCTTCCCACTGTAATCAGCGAAATCAAGAGGAACAATATGCACAATGCGTTAAATTCATTAACTTTCAAGAAGTCACGGAACATGAGATTGAAAATGTTATTGATAAAGTTGGTAAAAAATCTTGTGAACTTGATCCAGTGCCCGCAAAAATCTTTCAAGGTTGTCAGAAGACTCTCTTACCTATAATTACTAAGATCAGTAATGAGTCACTTCAGTCAGGTTGTATGCTTGAGATACTAAAAGAAGCCGTGTTGAAACCAAAACTAAAGAAAGATTCGCTGGATTACGAAGAATACACAAATTTCCGACCTATTTCAAATTTACAATTCCTGTCTAAAGTAATTGAGAAGGTTGCTGCCGGTCAGCTTCTGGAACACTTGGCTAATAACAAATTAGAAGAACCCTTCCAGTCGGCATATAAACGTTTTCATAGTGCAGAAACAACCCTATTAAAAGTACAAAACGATATTCTTTTAGCCATTGATAATCGTAAGTGTGTGGTGTTGCTATTACTAGATATGTCAGCAGCATTCGATACTGTTGATCACAAACTTTTACTACAACGAATGTTCAAAAGATTTGGGATAGATGGGCAAGTGTTGAGATGGTTTCAGTCCTATCTTCAGAATAGAACGCAAAGTGTAGTGATTGACGGTGTTAAATCTATCTCTAAAGACTTGCGCTGTGGAGTCCCACCAGGATCAGTTCTCGGCCCTATACTATATTTACTATACACTTCACCCCTTGGTGATATCATCAGAGGTCATGATCTTGATTTTCACTTTTATGCAGACGACTCGCAATTATATCTCGCTTTTGAGTCAACCACTGAAGGAAAAGCGGGAGCACTGGTACAAATCGAAATGTGTGTAAACTTCGTTTACTGCCGTATTGATTTGTGCCGCAAAACTTTACTGCCATATCGGTTTACTGCCATATCGGTTTGTGCCGTGAAACCTGAGCCGCTTGTCATATCAATCAATCAACAGCGGTATTCTCGGTCACGTGGGGTGGTGTATTCTGCCTTTAATCGCAAAAAGCATAAAGCAATTCTTATGTATAAAACTATAAACAAGAGGGTACCAGAATATCTACAAGACATATTTATTTCGCGGTCTTGTCCTTACAGATTGAGAAACAATGAAAATACATTATTTGTCCCTAAGCCACATACAGATTATCTAAAGCGCTCACTCAGCTACGATGGAGCTGTTTTATGGAATAGTTTACCAACTGAACTTCGTTCGGCGCAATCTCTTAGCGCTTTTAAACGAGGTCTAGAATGTTGGTTAGCTTAGATTCACACACGGCAATCATGTAAATCAGTACTGTTCTGTTTTTTTGTAAATAGCATTTGTATTTTTTTTCCCCTTTTTCTCCTTTTTCTATACTTTATTTATTTATATCTATATTATGTAAATTTTTACTGATGATTCTAGCGTGCCAAAATAAAGTTTATAATAATAATAATAATAATAATAATAATAATAATAATGATACATTAAATAATTATAAGCTGCTATTTTACTTGGTGGAACTCGACTATCATACCTTTTGATGACACTTGAAACAGCAACTCTCTCCCCTCGATGGTTCACTTTTTCTATCAGCTCTTCCATCTTCTCAGCAACCTTTTCTGCATCCTCGCGCCCCAGATCATTGGTTCCAATGTGTAGAATGATGGTTTTATACTCGTTGTCGTAGCAATTATCCTCGATTAATTTTGGTGCAATTGACTTACAATAGCACCGCTGTACGAGTGGCAAACGGTTTTGCCTCTTGCTGCCCTTTCAATTTTCTTTTCGTCAATGTCCTTAACTATCTAATCCCCAATGACCAGTGTCTTTTTCTCTGTTTTTCTTGTTTAGTGTGGGTGTTGAGGTTTACTTTGATATTCTTGGGTCTTGCTCGATTTAAAGCGAGTGCATGTATAAAACTCAGTATATGGGGTTGTGAACAAGATGCAGTTCAGCAAAGGAAATTGCACAGCCTGCGGAATAACTGCAGAATCTGTTGCTTGTCCTGCTAGACGTTTCGTTTTTGTTAAAGGACAAAAATTAAGAGTATTTCACTGTGGTGACAACACTTGTCCAGTGTATACGAAATCAGAAAGGCCTGTTGCCAATGTAAGGGATATGTTAAAAAAGATCCAACCTTAAAGCCTTCGCAAGTTCAGTCAGCTCTGCTTGTTTCGTTGTTGAGAGAAGGAGAATCGTGGGTCAAGATCGACAAAGAGGCAAGTAAACTGGTAGACTGTAAATGGATTTCAAACCAGAGGCAGGCAGTTAGACGAGAACTCAACCCCCATGTAGAAAACTTTGAGGCACTGGTTACATTTAAACATTTTTGCGACCCCAACGACCCCTATTATGTGTACAAAATAAACGACTCACGAGGCAACCCTGATTCACCAACTTATGTCTTCAAGACAAGTAAAGCCAAGCTATTAATGGCAAACAATATGAACAAAGACGGTGTCCATTTTCTTAATAAAGAATATTGTTTCTTTGACGGTAAGAACAAGCGTTGTAGAAATTATACAACTCTTACAGCAAGCGTGTATCACCCGCTGCTGAAGAAGCAAATTCCCTTAGCAGTGATGGAAACAGAGGCAGAGGATTCACGATGCGTGACGTTATTCTGGACGCTATTCCAAGAATTACTTACCAAGGCAACAACCAGTACTTGTACTTTCAATACCACGGGCTCCAGCACTGATATGGCTGGAGCCAATCTAGTCGGAATAAGGGATGTGTTCGGGAGCGAGGCGTTAAAACGAGTGAAAACCTGCGAATTTCATTTTAAACAAAATCGCAACAAGAAAGCTAGAGAACTTGACGAGGAAAGTGCGAAAGAATTTAAAGACTTGTGCGAAGCACTGTTGATTGCACAGTCTGCTGATGGTTATGCAGCTGCAATGAGCAATCTCACTAAATTTGTTAACGAGAAACCTGAACACGAGTTTCTAGAGTTATGGTTGAAGTGGTGGGATGACCGGAAGGAGTTTATCTTCAATGCTTTCACACCTTCAGATGGACCCAAAATGATCCAAGCAGAAGGGATTCACGCTGATTGGGCGCATCGAGATCGCAGCAATTCATCCCTGCTCGAGGCTGCAAATATGGATACACGGGATTCCATTTTATTGGAAGCTCAAATTAGAGAGTAGAAAAAAGGGACGTCGTCAGGTGGAACCGGTCCTTCCTCTACACACAGAAATTATAGACGTGGTCTTGATCAGGCAGCACGTTATGGGAGGGGGATAAGCGAGCTTGGAGAAAACCTTGATGGTGAATCTGCACATCGACCCCCTCAGAAACGTAAGGGAAAAAGTAGTAAGCCCAAGAAAAAAGACAAGCGAGTGTCTCCTGCTTCAACTTCGTTCTCGCGAATTGCTCCAACAACAGACAACAACAACCAGTTCCGTGGCAACACTCGATCGGCCACGGTCCAGCCAGACATAGCCAGCCCTGCCACACCATCTCAAACTGCAACGGCCCATGGTGGTGCTAGCATTCACCAAGGAGATTACGTTTCCCGTCCATTCCCTCCCAACTTTTCATTTCGTTACCCAACAATCCGAAATGATCCACCGATCATGGCAAATGTAAATAATTATGACATTATTACAAGAGCAATATTCCCACAACTACCTTACATTCGGCCTGAGCTTCCCTCTACCTCTATTTCACCTTCACTAATATGACATTCAGGACTGTCGCCGTCAGGGACGCCGGAACTGGGGGGGGGGAGCAGGGAGGCGGCTGCCCCCCTTGCCTTTTGCTAGAGGGGGCAGGGGGGGGCAGAAGTACCCTTTTAGTTGTAAAATAATACGTGATAAATCACATTTCCAACGATGCTTTTTGTAGGAAAATCACGAGATTCAGGTAATTTCTATTTTATATTTATAAAATTTTTTGGAAATTTTTGGAATTTAGAAAAATATTTTGAAGAAATGGCGAAAATTTAAGATATCCGGAAAAATTTTTGGCTTCACGGAAAATTTTTGTATGTCCGGAAAAATTTTTTGACCCCTAAAATGGTACACTGAACAATGTTACACCCCTATAATGGTACAC